AGTATTGAATTGGTCTAGAGCTTGTAAGAGAAGGATCATTTGGAGGGTTGCTCACGGACTATTCAAAACTTGGCGAGGCCCTTGGATCCCGTGTGGACTATCATTCAGGGCTATTATGCTACGCTGAAGCACAATTGTCACTTTAATTAGGTGGCTGATTTCTTGGATGAGCATGGTGCTTGTTATACCCTGCGCTTAACGAGTGAGGCGTCGCAGAGGCCGGGCTCCATGGAGCCCGTTTTATCAAAAAAAATCAGAATATACTTAAAAGTTTCAAAAAATATCAAATCTTTTTATACAAATACATATGACTGTTCGTCAAGTTACAAAAAAGTTTCATCAGGTAATTTGATTATTTGCATGCTACCCAAAAAAGATAAATATCTGGCCCAAAAACGACAAAGATAAAGCCCATTTTAATCTGTGTATTTATCTTTTTTGTATACATTACATGTTAACATATATGTTCATGAAATTTTATACATGTATACTACAAATAAACATCTATGTATATACTTTTTTTCAGATTTTTTCAATGTGTAGAAATAATATTTTCGCTGAAAAGAAATAACGAGCTATGTGAAGCTCGGTCTCTGCTATGCTTTTTCGGCGCTTAACGTTCTTTTTGGCCCATTGATGTATTCAGAAAATACATACATCAGCAAGACAACGCCGATATATTTTTTTTGCTTGGCAGCTAGAAGAACAGTATGTTTACCGTTAAGGATGTGTGCATGCTTGCAAGCTCTGATCATGATGATTCTATTGCTGGGGAGCGACCAACAACCACCTTCAAGGGGAAAGATAAGTCTTTTTAAAAAATAAGAAAGACCCCGCCTCTGTATCTGGGCGATGCATGCATCCACTTTATTAATTATTCATACAAAACCTTACAAGAAAATACAACAGTAAGTCTGAATCTACCGTCTAGGCAATATCTGTCGCTGCTCATGTCCAATTCATGAAGGGATGCTGACAGTCCGGGCCTAATACCACAGATCTCGCAGCCAAGCCTAACATCTAAGATTTGAGGCCCCAACCAAGCCACTTGCCGAGTATAGGGCCCGACACGCTCTCGGAGGACACCGTCGCCAACTGCTACCACTCCAACTTCAGAGCTGTACTGATGCATCATCCTTGCCCGGTCTAGCTGTCGTCGAGCCACCACAGCGCCCAACGCCACCACCTCCCTGTGCGCGAACTGCTGAGCATGTCGCGGTCGCCGCCGGTACACCTTAGCACCATGCCGCCAAGTACCACCAGCCGACACAGCTTGAAGTCTCTGGAAGATCTGTCGTGTGTAGCACCTGCCGATCAGGCATGACAAAGTGTAGCACCTGTCGACCAGGCATGACTTGACATCTTCACCGAATCTCCGTGCAAGACGAAGCCGCTCCACCTCCTACCTCCGATTTCCAGCGCTGTTCCACAAACAATACTCCCAAGAGAGAAACGACACCCGCAGTGCCGCCATCGTCTAATCTGGAAAACCAGATCCTGGGGTTTTCCCCGGAGCAACACGAGTGGGTCGACACTAGTTACACGACGATGTCTTCATCAAGGTAACGACGCAAAACGCCGCCATCGCCTGCCGTCGGCTCGGTTTTCACCGGCAACTCTGTCTCCCCAACTCACAGCCAGGACTAGATGATGAATCTCGAGATCCGACCACCCAACCTCTGGCCGGCCACCTCCGACGGAGAAGATGACCACCACCGCCGGCTCCACTGGCCAGATTAGATCTGACCGGAGGTGCGGCCAAGCAGTCCACCAGGCCCTCGATGTCGCAGCCGATCCAAGACCGGATGACGCGTCGCCGCAGCATAGACCGCCCGCCGCGAGGCAGGAGTGGCCTCCGCGGCCATCGCCGCCGCTTCGCTAGATCGGCCGCAGCCGTTTCGCTAGATCGGCCGTGCCTCCACACGCATAGGAGGGGGGGCGCACCGCCCCTGAGTCCCGGGAGGGAGGAGAACCCCCGCCACCCTCGTCGTCCACCGGGCACAGGCCGGCGGCGGGAGGAAGGGAGGGAGGGGGTCGGCCCAGGCGGCAGCTAGGGTTGGAGTACCACCCGTGTCGCCCGAGCGGGGGTGAGACGGGGGTCAGGGGCGAGCGGCTCCGGCCTCTGCAACAACTAGAGATGCATACGACCTTTTAGGTATGAGTACTAGGATTTTTAATCTTGATTACGCACCAAGTCTAGTCCTCAATAATGCGTGAGTACCAGGTGAGTCGTTTTGGCCATTACCTCCTAATGATCTTTTAATAGGAAATGGAAAGCAACGGATATTGAATGTTTTGTTGGGCTGTTCAGATACCACTCATGACATGCTGATTACGCTTATTTGGCGTTTTTGGCAGCATGATAAAGAGATACCCAGCACCGGGAATTCAATTTGGCCCTTCAAAGCATATGCTCCAGCCCACCAAAAATGCTTTTTGCAAATGTCAATTTTTTTTTAAAAAAAATAGATGTGCCCATTGTACACCAAAATGCTACTTGCAAATTTTTAGGAGAAAAACTGAAGTATTTTGATCTGTGTAAAAAAAATGAACGACAAATGTTACCTTCAAATGTTACACTTATTTTTGGTTTTTCACCTACGAAGCACCGCCATTCTGTTTCGCATGAAAATTGGCAAGCACACTTGTTAACAAAAACATGTGCAAAAAAAGTTCAGATAGAGCCAAAAAACGGCGCAAAGTTATTGTTGAGTTCTTAGATAGTTACTTCAAGTCCATTAGTAATTCACGAAGGTATAACACGGACGAGTTGTTGAAGTGGAAGATGCGGTTAATCCCGGCAAAGAAAACACTGACGCCAGCTGCTAGGTGGCCGTCAACGCCGGTGGACCACGTAGAAATTTCGTTAATGGGTCCGCGGATTGTACGACAGCGGAGGGCATGATTTTGAGGAAGCACGACAGCTTCGTTATACTCTCTGGTTTTCAGTTGTAATGATGCCTTGGAAGTGGAGCTACAAGGATCATGCAGGTGGATGGCACTCGCTGCCCAACATAGTACTAATCTTCCAATCATTGTCCAATCATATTCTCTGGAGGCTCTTGATGTGTTACTATCAGGTGATGGATTTTATCTCTGGGTATATAGCCACCTTGTTACAGAGATCAAGGCATTGATGGTCCATAGAGAGTTTATTCCGTAGAAACTTCGTCAAGAACAAAATGGTGTGGCAAATCATTTTGCAAACTATAGTTGTATTAAGTGTACCATCGCCGTATGACTTCACCAAATACCCCCACCCCCCATGTATTGATCTTTTGCCTCTCTATTGTAACCCTATAATCTTGGAGTTTTAGGATAGTCTCATGCCATAGAAAAAAGGGTACATACATGCACATTGACCCCCTCCCCCCTCTCCATTGCAAAGAATCAGAGTATTTGCTGTTGCCTAGTTAATCTGTACATCTAAAAAGAGTTAAGAAGGCACGCTACAATTTTTTTTTCTCCTCCCATGAGCGACCCCTAGGCGGCTATGGTTTCTCCACCCGCCGCTAGCATCATCGCCAATCTGTCTCATCTCATGTCGCCTTAGGGTCATCGAGGCATGTTAGATCCCGACCAATTGCCAACGGGAGAACTAGTGCTTCGTTTTTAGGTATTTTTGTTTGTTTAGGGCGGCGCCAGCTCCCTGAAGATGAAATAAGGTTCTCCTCGCCTAGCCTCCATCCCAACTATGTGTCTCACATTGTCAGATGGCGTGGGAAGGTGTGTCTTCTATAGATCTTGCGGTATTAGGTCGGTGTTTGTCTTTGATGGATCTGTTTGGACTCGTTCTTTGTTCGTCTGCATTCATGTGTCTATAGGTAGGATCCCTTCCATCTACGCTTCTTGTCATCGGCGACGGTTTTTGTCTGGTACGCTGGTCCTCTGGGTCATAGCACGATTTTTTTTACTGTCTATCACAATAAGGCTTGTCCGACTCCTATGAGGGAGGGGCGATGACACTAGCACACATTCGGCTTGCTCAATTGTTTGTAGTCATCGCTAGGTGGTCTACGAAAATAGATCACTTCGGGTTTCTTTGTATTGACGTGATATTCGATATGAATAGACCATATATGGAAAGTTTATGTAAGCACGAAACCCAAAGGCTAAAAAACGTTATTCAAAATGTTAGGACTCAAAATGTTGTCCAAACAGAATTAGGCAGCTGACCTCGCAAGGCGTAACCGCTCGCGGTGACCCGAAGTTGGAGGATAACCCAAGATGATCAAAGAATAAAGTATATATAATCGGGCAGCCGAATGCGTAGGCGTAACCACTGAGTGATCATCATGGATACGCCCCCCAAATACCTCGGGCGATAAACTCGCCGAACCCGCATCACGCGGCGAAACCCTGCCGCCATGGTAGCCTCGGCGTCACTCCTCCTCCGTACCGTACGCGCCTGCCGGGTCAACGCGGGGAGGAAAGACGCGCGCGCCGGAGAAGCAACCCAACCGCCGCACGGATCGGAAAAACGACCCACATTTCACTCTACCGTCCGAGCCCAGCGAGCCCTCGTGGCCCCGCCCGACGCCGGCCACGCGCCTCCGACGGGTCACCAGCCGTCGCCGCTCCAGCGCCGCACGCTACTCAGGCGCGCACGTGCGAGGCGTCGCCGGAAAGCCGGTGGGCGGCTTACCCGGACCGGAAGGATGGTGACGAAGCAGGGCCGCCTCGTCCCGAGGAGCGGCAGTGGCCATGTGTCCCGAGGCCGGCCATGTGGGCGGGGCGGCGGGTATATATGGGGCGGCCACAGGGGGCCTTCCTCATCGTCTTCCTCAGCCTGCCGCGTGTTCCATCTCGCTAGCTGCCCGCCCCTTCGCTGTACCTGAGCGCCAGCGGCACCCATCGCCATCTTCCTCATCGCAGCCCCACCACCACTCCCCCGAGTCCAAGTCCGTGGAGCTACGCGCGTGCGTGCGTACGTACGTACGTTCCTTCCTTCCTCCCTCCCTCCCTCCCTTCCCCGAAATAAAAAATAGACAGAGAGCCTCATGCTCGGTCGCTCCCTGCCTTTGCCTCCGCCTCCGTCTCCGCGTGCGCTCCCCATCCCCATCCCCTGCCTCCCCCGCCCCCGGACGTGCTCTGCTTCTCCAGATCCGCCGCCGACGCTGCTGCTGCCGCCGCGTCCTGAGGTGAGTGGACAATCCGCCCGCGCACGGGACGGGGAGCTTCTCCCCGCCCCCATTTTCTTTCCTTTCCTTTCCTTTCCTCGTACTGCTTTCGTGAGGCGCAGCGGAGCCGAATTGGGTCGCTTCCGGTGCCGGCCGCCGCTAGGATGCTCGTGTCAGGGGCAGCCGGGACGAGTTGCGTCGAAATGCGGCCGATTCGGTCCGATTCGGCGGCGGATTGCAGCGCCCAGCCATGGATTGTGCTGCGCTAGCTGGGGTTGTGGGGGGAGAGAGGGTGGCTCTGATTCAAAACACACCACTGGGACTGGGTCAGTCAAACAAACAGTGTTAGACAGGCACTGGTGTTAGGTTGAGGATAAAAATTGTGCGGGGGTGCAAATACATGCTGCTGGTAAAGGTCAAGCTCATAAGACTTGGCAAAATTAAAATGGATGAAGGCTTAAGCGCATCGCTCGCGCCATGGTTATGATGAATTGTGTGTGGGGTGGAAACAGAGACTGTTACTACCACGGGGCTAAAAAGTCAAGCTCATAAGACTTGGCAAAATTAAATTGGCACCCTAAACTAGTAAACTTCGTCCTTGTTATTATCCTTCCATTGTTCTCAATTAATAGACAGCTAACTCTATGTTTCCTTTTTCCCCGTAGAAAATGGCGATGATGGTGGATCCACCGAACGGCATGGGAAACCACGGGAAGCACTACTACACCATGTGGCAGACCATGTTCGAGATTGACACCAAGTACGTGCCGATCAAGCCCATCGGAAGAGGAGCCTACGGGATAGTTTGCTCCTCGATCAACCAGGAGACCAACGAGAAGGTCGCCATCAAGAAGATAAACAACGTCTTTGACAACCGCGTGGATGCGCTGAGGACGCTGCGCGAGCTGAAGCTCCTTCGGCACCTGCGCCATGAGAATGTCATTGCCTTGAAGGATATAATGATGCCGATACATAGGAGGAGCTTCAAGGATGTCTACTTGGTCTCCGAGCTCATGGACACGGATCTGCATCAGATTGTCAAGTCGTCTCAGCCGCTGTCCAATGACCACTGTCAGTATTTCCTTTTTCAGGTATGCGCCGGCTCTGTTTTTCATTCTTACCTTTGAATTCCATGTAGTCCTTCATTTGTTCTCACCATTCTACCATAATAATCTGTTCACACCTCAAGTGTATGGCAAGATAATGTTCTTTTTATCGTTCATACTAATTTGCATTAAGTGCATGATCTATCTAAAGTTGTTGAGTTTCAACTAGTTGAGTTGCCAAAGAATGATATGCTAATTTATGGAAGAAGCGCATGCCAGTTTGAATATTTCTAGCAGGAGCTTCTATAGCTGCTCCCCTTGGAAGTGCATTTCTTAAAAGCAACCTAATACACAGCAGATCTGCACATGGTATTTGCATGAACCTGTAACTTAAGCCTCTGTGAATTATTTCAGGATAGCTATATACAAATTGAACTTGAGCATCTTGTATTGGACTGATTCTTAGATGCTTGTCTTATGAATTAGTCTTGTTTGCTATCATGTCACTTTCTCACATTCTTCTGATCCTTTTTCTCCCATATTTGTCAATAACACCTTTTTTTTTCTTGACTGTAGCTGCTCCGAGGACTGAAGTACCTTCATTCAGCAGGGATACTCCATAGAGACCTGAAGCCTGGGAACCTTCTGGTCAATGCAAACTGTGACCTGAAGATCTGTGACTTTGGTCTGGCTCGCACAAATAACACTAAAGGTCAGTTTATGACTGAATACGTTGTCACCCGCTGGTACAGAGCTCCCGAGCTGCTGCTCTGCTGCGACAACTATGGCACCTCCATAGATGTCTGGTCTGTTGGCTGCATCTTTGCTGAGCTACTTGGCCGCAAGCCGATCTTTCCAGGAACCGAGTGCCTTAATCAGCTTAAGCTCATAGTCAATGTTCTTGGCACCATGAGCGAGGCTGACCTCGCGTTCATTGACAACCCGAAAGCGCGCAACTACATTAAATCCCTTCCATACACCCCAGGGATTCCCCTCAGTAGCATGTACCCGCAAGCGCACCCTCTTGCCATTGACCTGTTGCAGAAGATGCTTGTCTTTGACCCTTCCAAAAGGATCAGTGTCACCCAGGCTCTGGAGCACCCCTACATGTCCCCGCTGTATGATCCCAGCGCAAACCCTCCTGCGCAGGTGCCCATCGATCTCGACATAGATGAAAACATTGGCACAGATATGATCCGAGAAATGTTGTGGCAGGAGATGCTCCAGTACCACCCCGAGGCCGCCAGGATGGTGAATATGTGACAAGCAGGAATGAACATGTGAGAGCAGTGTGCCACACCAGGGTCTTCACATGTTCGTTCTTGGTATAAAGCTTTAATGCAATTATCGCAATGCCGTCGAGTGACCTGTTTATGTAAATATGTGCACAATAAACGGCGTATGGATTTCTCTAGCTGTGGGTCAGTACTTGGTAGTATATATGGACTGCTGTGTTGTAGAAGCGGAATTCGGTTATGAAGAAGCTTGTGTAAGTTGTAATCTTTTTTTTTCCTTGATTGTAAGTTTGTAATCTTAGACACTGCTCTATGTATATGGACTACTGTGTTGTAGAAGCGGAATTCAGTTTATTACGAATTGGGTTATGAAGAAGCTCGTGTAAGTTGTAATCTTCTCTTCTCCCCATGGTTGTAAGTTGTAATTTTAGAAGCTGCTCTATGTATGGAGGTCTAAACTTTCAAGTGACCTTGTTTTGCTTCTACCTTCAAAATTGTCTTGTTTCTTCAAGAGCTAGGAAATTGCAGTTTGTATGGTATTTTCTGTTTGGCTTAAAATGTATAAACTCTGAAGCCCCCTGTAATCTGCAATGCCGTACCACCATATGCTGATGACCTGATGTACACACTGAATGTGCTGATGCCATGGTGGTCAAAGTTATTACTCCTGTTCCCCTGGGAAAGAACTCATCCGAAGAATTCTGAACTCTCAAGCCCTCAACTGGAGTGGTTGGATCGTTTTCACTTTGTGATTCTATGTGACTGAACAAATAAGCAAACAAAAGCAGAACTTGCATTGGGTTGACTTAAAATCACAGTACCAGTACTTCAGATATGTGAGAAATATTAACTGACGGAAATCCAAGATGCAGATGGTACACAGTGGGGCATGGTATGGGACTGGTTCACTACTGTCGCCAACATCTTTCTTCTGATGGATTTGTCTTAGAACGTGGTTCCGTTGAAGCCCACGTTGTACCCCTGCAGCGCCAAAACGAGGCACATCACAACACACACACAGAGAAAAAACATGGTACATTTCTTGTTGTCAACTTCAGTACAGATTTACTCCCGATGGAAAGAAAGACCGTGTGGCGGCGCGAGTAGTTCTGGGGTGGGGGGTGCGGAGGAGGGTCAATGTGCGTGCGCACCTGGACATCGTCGAACTTGACGTAGAACCTGCTGGCGCTGACGGAGAGCTTGGCCTCGAGGATGTCGGCGAGGGCGGCGCTGAGCTTGCCGTTGACGCCGGGGCCGAGGCCCCCGATGGACATGATCTCCCCGTACGCCGCGGGCTCCTCGCTCCCCGCGAACGACGTCGGCACCGACCCGTCGATCGACACCGTCACGTACTGCGCCACAAAGGGCAGCGGGTCAGCATAGCAACACACTCTGTGCCGGGAAGGCATTCCGTCGAACAGACGGAGCGCGCGCCGGGGAAGGGAGGGGTTTAGGAGGTGGGGGTTACGGATTCTGGCTTGCCGATGATCCTGGCGAGCGCCCTGGAGCAGTCCCGGAGGATGTCGGCGGCGGCGACGGCGTCCACCGGCACGTTGGTGCTCAGGCTCAGCTGCGGCATCGCGTGCTATGGCGGGGGTGTGGAATCTGTGGTGGACAGGGGAACGAGGCACGCCCGCTAGCCGAGACGAGCGGGAAGGAGCAGAGAGGATTGATTACGTGCGGCGATAGCGAGGCAGAGGAGGATTTGGCGCGGGCCCAGGCGGCCCGAGCCCGCCCCGGGGCCGAGCTTCTTTGGTCAAGAGCTGCATTTCCGTTCGCTGGTCAGGAGCCACATTTTACCGTGACAGTGTGTTTGGTGGGAGGAAATCAGTAGTGAACGGAGTGAAGAGGGCATCAGTACAGTTTATTGTTTGGATAGATAGCACTAATTGGAGAGGAAAACGAATTTAGGAGGTCAGTTTTCATTAATTTTTTCCATAGAAGGCAAATTTAATTGATCCATAATGTCACACAAAAATATACAAGCATAATAAACACACACTTAACGTATGTACAATTAGAATGCAAATAGTCAACGCCAACGCGTGCACATAGAGGAAAAAAGAAATTGGAAGTGACATCCAAATGCCATTTTGAAGTGAACTCAAGCATGCAGTTACAAGCAACAACATCAACACCGCCGATGATAGAACTCCGAACGGTTCGAAAAGTGCTTCAACGATGATGATTACAAGAAGGGAACAACACGAGAGCACCATCATCGTCATATCCACCCCTAGAGGCTAGATCTTGGTTTTCATCATGAAAGATAACTACTCCATACCACGTGTGGGCCTGCTCGACAAAATGCCTTCCCGACTAAACTGTAACACCTCGGATGTAATTTACCTTATATGTACTCCAACTCTTGCCGTTTCCGGCACTAAGTTATTTTATTTCTCCGTTGTCGGGTTTTTGTCTCCATGTGTTGTTGTCTTTGTCATGCATCTCATATCATGTCATCATGTGCATTGCATTTGCATATGTGTTCGTCTCATGCATCCGAGCATTTTCCCCGTTGTCCGTTTTGCATTCCGGCGCTCATATGTCCTCCGGTGGTCCTTTCTACCTCTTTTCGTGTGCGTGTGTTAAACGTTTTTGGATTGGACCGATACTTGTCATGCGGCCTTGGTTTACTACCGGCAGACCGCCTGTCAAGTTTCGTGTCATTTGGACTTCGTTTGATACTTCAACGGTTAACCGAGGGACCGAAAAGGCCCCGTGTGTGCTGCAGCCCAACACCCTTCCAAACTGTTCCAAAACCCACCTAAACCCCTTCTATCATCTAGAGCGTTCGATCACGATCGCGTGGGCGCAAACCGTGCTCAATTTGGAGCCTCCTAGCTCCTCCTACCTATAAAACTAGGCCTTCCTCGAAATTTTCGGGTCTTCCCTACCCTAAACCCTAGCCCGCTCCTCTCCGCGTGGCCGGACACGTCCATCGACCGTCGGATACACCGTCGCCCGCTCCGGCCGGCCTCATCTCCGGCGCCGCTGCCCCTACAACTCCGGCCGCCGGCGTCGCCCCGCGCCGCCCTTGCCGCCGGCGACCGCGCCCGACGCCGCCGCCTTCCTCTCCGTCGCCGGCGCACCCCGGCGACCTCTCTCCCTTCACCTCGGTCTCCAGCGAACAGTACCCCGACCAATCTCGAGAATCGCGCCCCGATCCAGATCTGATCGCGACGGGTTGACTTTTTCTCCTCTAACCTTAATTTTTTTTGTATTCTTTCACATGCCATAACTCTGCATCCGTAGCTCCGATTCGTGCGTGTAGCATATCAAAATGTTCGTCTCGACGAGTGCATCATTTCATCTCATTGCATCATTTTCATTTGAGCTCATGTTGATGCCTGAAATGCTGTTGGAAGAGGGCTATATGAGGAATATTTCAGATCTATTTCAGCAAATGGTTTTTTGTCATTTTTGCCATGATTAATGTGTGCATGCTATGATCCTGAGCTCTACATGTGTTTCGTTAAATGCCATGCCATCTTTACAGGGGTGTATTTTTGTAATATTTTGGGTGACTAGTGCATCAAAATGTTCGTCTCGACGAGTGCAGCATTTCATCTCATTGCATCATTTTCATTTGAGCTTATGTTGATGCCCGAAATGCTATTGGAAGAGGGCTATGTGAGGAATATTTCAGATCTGTTTCAGCAAATGGCTTTTTGTCATTTTTGTCATGATTAATATGTGCATGCTATGATCCTGAGCTCTACATGTGTTTTGTTAAATGCCATGCCATCTTTACAGGGGTGTATGCCATGTATTTTTGTGATATTTTGGGTGACTAGCACAGGCATGCAAAGTAGCGTAATCGTTGATGTTGTTTTCAGGGACTTAGTTTTCCACCAAGTCCTTGTTCTGTTTTTGTTTTTATGCCATATGTTCATGTTGTTTCCTAGTGATCCGTGCCTCTTTTGAGGATGATCAGTAAGAATGTTTTGTTAATATTGTGGTTCTCTATCCATACATGTCTTTGTTTGCATTTATGAAGTACCCTAACTTGAGTCAATCGAGCTCTACTTTTGCTATAAAATGTTCATGGCAGATTGTTGACATGTTTAGCGATTTTGACGAGGATGTTGCTATTGATCCGTGCATGCTATGTTGTTGTTCTTGCCATATCTAACTTCTATGCTATGTCTTCTTGATGTGTGTATGCTTAGTTTGTCATGACATGCTCTGTAGTGAGTGCATCGAGTTCGTAAACATGCCTACTCGTTAACTGTTTTGCATGCTCCAGTTTTTCACTAAGTCTGAATCTGTTTGTGTTTTTGCTATGTTCACATGCTTGCAAATGTATTTTCTGATCCCTTTTGGCTCAAGGTCACTAAGGGAATTTTGTTATATGCTTAGAGTAGCTTCATGCCATGCATTGCTTTGTCATGATATGTTCCCGTAGCATGTAGTTATCATGCTCTAAAGTGTGCTTCCTGATGATAAATTCCAGACTTGTGTTAATTTCACTAAGTCTGAAACCTGTTATCATTTGCACTTTTGTCATGCTTGTTTGAACCTGTTAATGGATGAATTAGCCGTAGCTCAGTGTTCATCTTTTGTCAAGCATCATGAGTGGATCCATGTCATGTATTTTGTTGTCGTATTTGAGTGCTGTGGCATGTTGTTCTTGATGCATTTAGATGGCTACTTGCTGATTATCGCAGACCGGTGCCATATTTGTTTTGATTGCCTTTTCCAAACCGTGCATCTGATTCCGGTGATCTTTATATCGATTTCAACCGAAATCATCTCACCTTTCCAGTGGCACTATTGGATTTCCATGTTGAGGCCAGGTTCAATCTTTCCTTTGCAAATCTTGCATATGCATCACATATCGCATCCCGCATAGCATACCATGTTTGCATCATGTTGCTTGAGCATTGCACGTGGTTGATTGTGCTCTTTTTGCTTGTTGTTCTTGTTTCGGTAGAGCCGGGAGACGAGTTCGTGAACGAGGAGCCCGTTGAGTTCGCTTACGAGGATCAAGGCAACTCTGAGTACTTTGCAGGCAAGATGACCATA